GCGGGCGAGCGGCGGCCCCCAGGAGCCGCGGGCCCCGGAGCCCCAGCAGCGCGGAGCAGCTCATGGTGGTGGCGGGCGGGAGCGCGGGCACCGCCCCGGCTGGGCCGCCGAGCACAGGGCTGGGGAGGAGCTGCGGCCTGCGGAGGCGATTGGGAAAAGGGGCGGGAGAAAGTTTACAAACCCGGCGTACGCGAGGACAAGTCCCGGGACTCGTGCCGGCGCTGCTCGGTATATCGCCTGTAGCGCATATCGCCACTCAGCTGGAGGGCTGGGATGGGCGCTGCTCGGAGCGGGTCCGAACGGGGCCTCTGTGGCTCGGGTTGTGCCCGGCCCACGCTGGACACCGGGAGGGTGCGGGGCTGTGGCATCCCCCAAGATGCGGGCTCGGTGAGGGCACCGAAACGCAGGGCCGTGTGTCGGGGCAAAAACCTCAACAGTGGAAACGCCGTCCAGGCTCGGGATAACGTCARAAGCGTGTCAAATAGCTCGGTCAGGAGGTTATTATGAAACTCTTGTGTTTATTAGAAAAYAAGGCTTTCTGTGTGGGAGTGCCTGTCTCAGTTCCGACAGGAAGGGCTTCTCAGCTCTTGGACTGAAATTTTTAGTCTGTGGGCGTGAGGTAAATGTCACCGGCCCAGGAAATTCCCTCGTACATAAGGAGGAACTTACGTTTTCCTCGTCCTGAAGGCTGAGCTGGAGGGCTATCTCCGGACACCTCCACGGAGGGCTGATCGTGTAGAGGCGCTCCAGAGCGGCTCCTCCGGCTCTGACATGAATGAGGGCTGTGCCTGAACCAGAGTTTGTTCTTCTCTGACACAGGAACAGCCTGGCGTTCCTTAACACGTACACTTTTATTGCAAGCGGGTTTGAATTATCTCTTGCAAATCATACAATAATAAAATTGGGAATCTTTGCAGGRATGATGAAAAACACGACGTTTGGGGCAACACTGACAATGCTAAGTGTGTGGTTATGATGAGAGGGGGTTTTACTGATGTAAAAAGTAGTCATGTTGAAAATAAATAAGTAYTTCAGAAAATTGTTGATAAGAAATCCATTTAGATTATTTTCAAATTATAATTAGAAATAATGCAGTTGAGAGAAGAAGRAAAATAATCGTGCTGTGATCTTAGAATTGGTTCTTTATTTAGCAAGGTACAATGTTCCCCTATTGCAGAAAAGTGCTATTAAGTACCGTTTTCTAATGTTCAATTAAACAGGCAGAACCAAGAAGGTCAAAAAGAAAAGTTGGTTCCCTATACACAGAAGACCTAACTTTTGATTATTAATTTATGGAAGTATTCATTAGTAYGTTGAAAATTTCCTGGTTTTGAGTCCCTCTAAACGAGTAATCATCCAAATAATCACAGTGGGGGGAAAATCCCACCATGTTATGTATGCATACTTGACTCCAGATGGCTTTGTCCTAATTATATATTTATTGCTCGTTTAACTTCGAAGCAAGAACCAGTAAGAGCACTGTTTCGGTACAAAATGCATTAATCTCAGTATAGACATAAAGACAGATGCTTTCTGCAGATAAATTTTRAAGTGCCTTCTATGTGTGTTTGGGATGGAATACATTGCAGTCAGATTCCAACATACTGCAGTGTGGCAGGAATTATGGCTAATCCTTAGCAAGTCATGCAATGCTCTCAAATCCCGTGCTGAAATTCAAAAGCAATTTGCCTTGGCTGAGACACCCTTGCCAAAATGCTGCAGTCCTCCCTTCTGCGCTTAAACACATCCAAAATAAATGCCAATCGCTGATAAACACAATCATTGATAACCCATGAATGCAAGTATAACTTCCACTGGTATGGGTTGGGCCAAGTTTTCATCCTACACACCCGAACCTCTGGGCGTGAGAAGAGCTGGCCGCTGCCACCGAGCGACCCACAGACCGGTAGGTGGCCGTGTTTCACCGCTCTCCGCACCCTCCTCGCCTGCAAAACAATCCCTGGCGCCAAGAAGTGCCACCTGCTCCTATCGGCATCTCCTGTGCTCTACTGAGAACACAGCCAAATGCGTGCAYTTCCTTCTCCCCGGATGAACCGGGCGTTTTATCGATATTAAGAAATAAACATTCACGTGCACATGTGTACATTGGTACAAAAGTCTTGGAATCTAGAAGGTTCTTTATTCTTTTAACTGCTTTCAGGTATTTTCGTGGCATGGATTTTTGACAGCCACTGCTCATGGTTCTGTGAAGGACTGGATCTTGCTTTGTCAGGTATTATTTTAAGGCCCTTATGGAACATTAAATACAATTTTAGCGAATTTTCATATGGATGTTGATGTGTGTGTGAGAGAATTAATATCCAACCTGTATTAAATGCTAAGACACACATACTAGTTGAATCTCCCAAAAACATGGGGAAAGGATTTAGGATTGTTTCCAATGTTTGCAGTAAAGTGATAAAAGGACCAAAGCCTATATTCTATTGGTTCCCACAGCAAATTGATTTCTTACTCAATTTATACTTGTCCGTAAATAAGTAGACTATTTAATAAGCTTGTTGAGGGTCAAACAAAATAATCCATTTTTCTGAGAGAGTAGTTTATTCACTATTCTATCCCCTCCATTTCACAAATTATTTTCTTAAAACAGACTGAGTTTTCATTATCATCATCATTCCATCCTGAGCAGTAATGATTAGCTGAGAGCCCATTATTTCATACATGAATTTCATTTTTTAATGAAAACAGAGACAAATTATATAGCGGTTCTTTTCCATGTAGGCTTGGGAAGCAATGCTCTGTGATAGTGAGGTCTTAATTTTGACATTTTGGACTTTGTATGATCTAACAGATTTTAGGAACRGTTTGTTGCTCTTTGAGAACATCAGATGACACTGTGTGGTTGTCAGTGAAGCCCCAAAGAAACTACAGTCAGTAACAAGCTTATGTGAAATTCATACATAGGAGGTGCTAGTGAAAGACTTGACTGTATTTGTGACCAATGTAGGGAATATGGGTCAACAGTAAAAGCTGTCATAAYTCACTCACGTTATAGGAACCCATTGCTTAACGTAAAATATTTAAGAATGAGACAGAAATCCTCTCACAATTTGGGAGAATAAAGCAGAGAAAGAAAAAGGCTACATATTTTTAAGAAAATTTTAAAATATTATTTCTTTCTGCTCATGGTTTACATGTAGATAACTCTTAACTTCACTTTCCTTCAGCAACCCTACTTATATTTATGTTTAATAGGCTAGTGCTATTAATGTTTCTAACTTAAGCCTGTGCTTCTCTACCTGTAAACAGATTTGAGCACTAGCATGGAGCACAGATAATGTGTAAARAAACTGTGGAATTCATTCTTCTACTTCCATCATCCTGAATAAATGGCATTTAAACCTAATTCTGGAAGTCAGGGAGGACAACACAGTACATTATTCCAAAAGCCCTTTAGATTATATTTCTAGGATTTTTCTGACAGTCAGGCTTCCTCTGAGTGCTTAAAAAAAGTACAAGCAAAGTATTTCACAGGSCAGAGGTTTATTGTGAAATACACTKCATTTTTGCTGTATTTCCTTTAATGTTATTGTCAATAAGTTACTATCCAAACCAATAGCATCAACCTATATGTTCGATTATTGAAGCAGGCTCTGTTTAGTTTATTGAAGCTCTGTCCTCTCAACTAATTACAAAATACTCAGCAAATATTTGAATTTACTACTTATCTCATTCACACAAATTAGTGCATCTCTTTGTTTAACAAATAAGTTCACTGTTCTTGCCCTCAGGGTAAAGTATACACTGCAATCTCTCTTCTGCAGACAGTCTGAATACCAACCTTTTCTCAGTGAATCAACAGTTGAAAATGGTATCTGTAGATCAGTAAAACAGAATTTACTATGTTGCATCAAATACCCCTATACAAGGCACAAACAACTCAAAGCTCAATAATGATGTTCAACTGAACATAGTTTGGAGCTTTGTAGTATTTTAGTAAATTTTTAGAAATTTGAGGTATAATGTCCTATATTCCCAGACTCAGACAAACCTCAGCTATGACAACAAAATGAGTTACCATCTGAATCATATTGACTTCGTTCCTTTATATCACATTCCCTTTTTTTACACATAAGTTCATTTATTATCTTAAGATTTGTATGAAGTTTAAATAAAAGCTTTAATATATTAAATTAAGTACACTGAACTAACCAAACAGAAACAATAGATAGGATTTTTCAAAACTGAGATAACAGCTCATTCAAACCATCAAATATCTGCCTTCTGTATATGAGAKGTCTTCAGAAATACTATGATGATGGAGTGCCTTGATTTTTGGCCCTTTAATAGTTAATTTTTTTTAATTGTTTGTAATAGTAGTTTAAGTCAAAATAAGAACTATGTATTAAAGCAATAACCCTTGGTTATTCTTTGTAGAAAACAAAGGGTCTTTTAGGTTGTTAGAAGTGCTGACATGAACAGTCATGAATCGATGTAACTTCCATATTTTGTTTTATGAAAATATATTATCCTGTAATTATTAAAGTACCCACTCTAAAGAGAGTAAAAAAAATACTCTCTGTATTCACAGTGTGGAGACAGCAAAATAGCCCATAATTTCTTTCCAAAATGAAGGGTTCTGGCTGACATGAAATACATACATTYCTTACTGTTCCCCACTCAGTTTTCAAAGAAACAGCTATTACCAGCCAGT